ATGATTTCCTTGAGAGAGAGAAGAAGACGGCTGAAACAGAACTTTGAGGCTCTCCTCGCCTTGAAAGGTCACACGAAAAAAATCAGCAATTTCTTTCTTAAACGCAGACATTTTCATGCTCTCCTTTTTCCTGTTCTCCCGTTGACTCTGCATCAACATAAAGTCTTCCCACTGATCCTCTAATTTTTTTCTTTTTCTTTTTTAAATTTTATTTTATTGAGAAACAAATAGCAATAAGACAGTTTCAAAACTGATTAATAGGACAGTTTCAGTAATTAATACATTGTACATTGTTATCTTCTTAGTGGTTATCCATAGTACAAAATGCAGACAGGATATCCTGTCCAAACACTAGTAGTACAAATCTTTCTTCTCATTGAATTAAACGAAAGTAGCTGTATATCGCTCCTAACTATTCTGCATATACAGATACAAAATGGTCCTTCCTTTGTATCCCCTTTTTTTGTTTAGTCCTGTCAGAAGTGGGTAGTCCATTGGCATCTAAATACTATAGTTGTGTGAATTCAGCAGAACAATCCAACACAGTCCAGCAGTCCACAATAGTAGTGGGTTATCCCCAGAAGTTGTTGTCTTGAGCCTTTCACAGCTCAGCATGTTAATATGCCTTTATATACCTCGTTTTTATACTTTTTTGCTGGATGGTTAATACCAAGATAAAGCAAGACCTATATAACAAGAAATGTAACTTTTGTATCTGATAAGGTCAGTCAAGTACCCTCAGGATTTATCCTGTAACCCTGTACCTCAGTTTGCAGATCCTTTGTCAGTGTCAGCCATGTGGTTGAGTCATGGCCATTGCTTGACCAATTTACTCTCTGTGAAAGCCTGAGAGAATGTTTTCTCTCCAGGTGACTCTCCTTAGGCACACTTTACATCATCGGTCACATTCCTCCGTGGCCCCATAATCTCCTTGATCAGAAAATTTGGGACACAATTGAGTTATATGATCTTACAGTATAGGCTCTTCTATGTCCTGAGTCTTTACTGACCTTGAAAGGCTAGGGTCAGAATGTTGGCTGTCCTTGCAGCCCTTCTATTTCTCTAATTTTTGGTCTGCAAACTTAGGTTGTTAGCCCTCCAGAAGAGAAGCTTATTATTACCCTACAACACATGCAGTTGAGTTTAACTTCACTGTCTGTCCGAATAACACCTTAGGCATAACGTGGAGCAGGTATTTTCCATCAACTATTGATATGTTAAACATTAAGTCCCTACAGAATTTGGAGATAAAAATTTAAAAATGAAAAATATTTAGAGAATATGAATAAACAATTACATAGTCTTACACAGAAATTTTAGAAATCTAACCATATATAGCATTGTAGCAGGACAGTCCTGTGACATTTTTTTTCTTTTTCTTGTGTCTTTTTTTTTTTCATTTATTACCCATTTAAAAAAAAATTGTGAGATAGTATGGTAATAATTGGTATGTCATAACAAGAAGTACATATTTAGAAGATCAGAATGACAGGCATTCCAAGCGTGACCCTTTTATTACACATTGCTATCTTTAGTGCAGTTGCTTGGTTCACAGGTATCAGCATGTAGATCCTCTGAGTTTTTGCCTGAGTTGTAACACTGTGGTACACATCAGTATCCAGATTCATTGTGTCCATTACTTTGTTTTCATTCTCTCCTGTTCTGGTTTCCTTGTAGATACTACTTTGATTCTACATTTGATGCTGCTTTGATGCTGCATTACTCCTTAATAAGAGGAGCAAATTAGTTTGCCCTTCTGAGTCTCACCTCTAACCTACTGTATTTGACCCATAAGATGTATGGTCAGTCTCTTCCAACCAGACCCCACCTTCTTGCAGCAGATCAGCTCTAGGGCCCCGTAATCCAATCCAGAAGCACACAAGGCTCTTGAGAGACCTCTAGGTGTAAACCATAACAACCTATCTGTCAGACCTTATATTAGGCTCTGAGATTCAGGCTTGAATTTACTTATTTATTTATTTTACCTTGGAGGAGCTCAGATAGGATGACTGAAAGCCTGAATTAAAAGTCATATGGAGATAGGAATACAGAAGACAGGAGGATTCCCTGAGATGTTTAAATGAGAAAGTAGTTTTTCCTCACTGAATGTTGGACCTGTATGTGTAAAAGATACCCACCCATGTGACTTGTTTAGGTGTCTCAGGTAGATGGTGATGTCATTTATTAGTGTAATAGGAATCACAAGAGGAGCAAACAGATTTACCTGATGTTTTGTTTCGGCATAGTGAATTTTGGGTGCCTATGGGCCACTAGTAAGAAACATCTCTTGGGCGAATGGATAGATGAAGCAAAAACAAGGTGGATAAATGGATCACTGGTACCTAGATTGTGATATCAATGCAAACCAGAGGTGTGGTTGGGTCAGTTGGGAAAATAGCATAGCTAAGAGGAGAGCTAAGGGAATGACCCTGAGGAGGGTCTGTGGACTTGGGAAGAGTGTACAGAACCAGAATCAGAAAGAGAGCGCTGAAATGAGAGAAGGGGATGGACATGGCTGTGTCCTCGAGGTCAGGAGGAGAACCACTGCCAAGAGTCCATTGCATTTGGCAGTGAAGGCCACTGGAGAGGAGTCCAGGGGGTGGTAGGGACAGAATGAGGGACTCACAGGTGAACATCTGGTGAGGAAATGACACGTGGCAGCTAGAGATGGAAGGGAGGAGGTTGCCGGGTGTGTGGAAGAACGGTTTTGCTTTGTTAGAGACTTGAACATGTTTTTGTGCTAAGGAGAAACACTCCCTGAAAGAGATGGAAGTTTCAGGAGAAGAGGTTGTTGATGATAAAGCACAGATCTGAGGAGCAGGGGTGAGGAAAAGGATTTGGAGCATGTGTGGAGGGATTAAACTCAGGCGGGAGGGAGGTGCTTCCTCACTGAGCAAGCGTGGAGCAGATGAGGTGGGAGTGGGTGGTGGTGGTGTGGGCAGTATTGGCTCACTGTTTTTCAGGAGACTGGCTGAACAGGAAGCAGGTTGGCTGTGGCAGTATTTGCAGTATCTGTGGTAGGAGTAGTGAGCTGAAGGGACCAAAGGCTAGGGGAAGACTGTAGCTGTGCTGCGGCTCTGCAGTCAGAGACCCCCGATTTATAGGGGTACCTGTTGACACGGTTAGTAGAACTTCCCAATCCTGTGCCCTACTGAGATTCCAGAGCCAGGTAAAGGAGAGGAATATTGTAACTGTTTATTTCCACCGGAAACCCTTTTCTGGATTCTTCTTCTACCCCTCACCTCCCCCTCCCCCTCCCCCTTCCTTTCTTCCTTCTCTGTTCTTCACGAAACTGGGGATTGAACTCAGGCCTTTGCACTTGCCAGGCAAGTGCTTATTCTAGTGAGCCATCTCCCCGGCCCCCTTTTCTGGATTCTTAAGAGAAATGTATTTATGGGCTATCATTGCTCAGGTTTTCTACATTGTAGTCTTGTGTTTGATTTTTCTGGTTGTTATAAATTATAATGAAAGTCATTTGATTTCTATTTTTTCCTTCCAGTACCTAAAAACTGAGGACAGCTATGTCTGATTTTGCTTCATTGCTTACTATCTGGTACCCAGTAGGCACTGGGTAAATGTTTATTTCATTTAATGAAACAAGGCTGAGGCAGGAGGATCATTGCAAGTTCGAGACTGGCCTGGGCTGCAAAGGGAACTGAAGGCCAGCCTAAGCTGCGTAGTAAGACCCTGTCTCAAAAAAGACTGAAAACACACACACACAAAGTTCAACCTCTCAGCCCTGCACGCATGTGGAATATGGATTGCTTCCATCTGCACTGCTGTGGACTGCCCTCCTCAGCTGGAGGAAGGGTATCAGGTGGTACCACCTGATAATATGCCACCAGGATAATAGCTAGGAAAATCCAAGTGCCTGGACTAACGTTGGACACCTATGCTCATATGCCAGCCCTGCGTCTTGCAAACATTATGACCTGAGCAAATTTGTAAGCTCTCTGTGCCCTAGTGTCGTTATCTTATTGGTGATGGTACCTACCTCATAGGGTTGTTTTGAAGATTACCTGATAGATTTTATGGAATGACTTTAGAAGAGCATGTGATGTAAAAACTGGTTATTACTACTAGTGACTTGAAAAAAGTCTCCTACATGATTTTTTTTTTAATTTTTTGTTTATTTATTTATTGTGTGTGTGTGTGTGTGTGTGTGTGTGTGTGTGTGTGTTTGTGGCCAGCTCAGCCCACCAAGGGGCGGTGCTGGCTGGCATGTGGTGCTGGGGATTGAACCGCGGTCCCTGTGCTTTGCTAAGCTTGTTCTAAGTAGGTGCTTTAGACCACCGAGCCATCTCACCAGCCCCTCCTACATGATTTTGATATTCTTCCTTTCTTGAGAGTTCTGGCTTTATGGAAAAGGGTATGTAGAACAGGCATCTCTGTCAAACCCCTCCCCCCCTTTTTTTTGAGACAAGGTCTTAGTATGTAGTTGAGGCTGACAGGGCCTGGTTGGCCTTGAACTCACTGTGTAGCCCAGGTTGGGCCTCCAACTCAGAAATCCTGTAGTCTCAGCCCTCCTGAGTGCTAGGATTGTAAGTGTCTGTACCCTCCTGCCTGGCTCACTTGCTTGTTTTTGTCTGTCTGTCTGTCTCTTTCTCCTTTCCTCTCTCCCCCAACCCCTTTCTTTTTCCCTTTCTCTCTTCTTTCCTTCCTGGATCTTTTTTGAAACAGGTTATCACTGTATAGTCCAGGCTGACCTTGAACTCAGTATTCTTAACTGCCTCAGCCTCCGAAGCCACCATGCCCAGATTACCTGTTTGTTGGCATCTAATGTATGTGATGGTCTTCTCAGCTCAGTGACCAGCACCTGGAAACAAATCCACTTTTCAGCCTTTAGGTCTATCATCAAGGAATGATGAAAGTGTCATGTGGCTGCTCCACTTTGGCAGCCTTCCTGTCTGTGCACCACAGAACACTGCATATTATCTGCCTTGCACCTGACATATTAAACTTAGTTCTTTCTGGTGTTTTCTTTTTTTTTTTTTGCAGAGGAGGTGGCCAAGTTGGAGAAGCACTTGATGCTTCTCCGGCAAGAATATGTCAAGCTTCAAAAGAAACTGGCGGAGACAGAGAAAAGATGCACTCTTTTGGCAGCACAAGCAAACAAGGAAAGCAGCAGTGAGTCGTTCATCAGCCGCTTGCTGAGCATAGTGGCTGACCTCTATGAGCAGGAGCAGTACAGGTGAGCTCCTGGGCACGTAGAAAGCGAGCCCCCCACTTTACCCTGGGCCATCATGAAACATTACAGCTTCTCCTCCTCCACATTCACTCTCTTAACCAAGATGTGTGTCTGTAAGCAGGATTATTAGCAAGCTTTTATACACTGGAATGTCAACTTCGTGAGGGAGAGTTTTGATAAATTCTCTTGTTTACTGTCTGTCTCCAGCACAGCGTGGGAGTCATGGTAATAACATTGCTAAGGCAGGCAGGAATTACTTTACATGTCTAGGAATTTATAGACGTCTTTTACCAAGATATTGGATAAAAAAACCTATATTTTCCGGCACTTTTTTTTTTTTTTTTTTTTTTTTTT